ATTATCCTTCACTTCACCAATCACATTTGGACAACACAACCTTCTTTTGTCCAAGTAAATATGCTAACTCAATAATATAGGTGATCACGTCATAAAAGTCTGTCATTGTTTGATCATGCTCTCCCCCCTTTGTTTTCCTTTTCTTCTCATGATTTCAAGTATGGAACCTAAATCCATTAACGTTGTTCAACTCACCATAAATGGGTCCACCGAATGAATGGCCATTATATGCAAATACACACAACTCCCCTGACTTTTTACTTCATCGTAGTTTCGTTCGGGTCGATTGAATCTTGTATCAATATTAAGTAGGTACATAGAACAAAACGTCAAACATTCGTTGTCAATGTAATGTTTAGAAATTGACCCTTCTGGTCGAGGCTTATTATGTACATAGCCCTGTAGTTTATTCATTTGTCTATTGATATACATAATCAAACAATTAAAGCATTAATTAAATTAAATTGACTAGTTCTTAATTAATCACTTCATTAATTAATCATACAATGCCTTTCTAATGAAAACATCCACCGATATTGCTCTAATCCAGCAATCTTTGCTTCTGTAACTAGGTGAACCATTAGATGCACCATCACATCGAAGAATGTTGGAGGAAATATTCATTCAAGTTTGCATAGTGTCAAAACAATTTGCCTCTCAAGTTTATCCAATGCATCCAAATACAGTGTTCTAGAGCATAACTGCTTGAAGAAATTACTGAGCTCAACAAATGTCTGGCACACTTCCTTATTCAAGAAGACACATAATGCCACAAAGAGTATATGTTGTAGGAAAATGTGATGGTTGTATCTCTTCATTCCTGAAATACAACACTCCCAGGTCTTCACACAACGAGAAATATTTGAAGTAAAACCGTCTAGAAACTTAATTGATCTCAATAATTCACACATTCTTCTCTTCACTTCATTTCATGTGAAAAGTGATAACATGCAAAAGGCATAAGAAATTTATCAACTTCAAAGCGCAGATGTAATTCAAGCCTTAAGCCCATGGCCATCAAATCCTAGCAAGCCTTCCAATTATCCTTAGTTTTTCCATCAATGTTCATTAATAGCCCAAGCATCACACACGTTATTCTCTATGTGCATGATATCGAGATTGTGTCGTAGTATAAGGGTTTTCCAATACAGCAGTTCAAAGACAATGCTCGTCTTTGTCCAATTTAAATCAATGTTCTTTCTCTTCTTTAATTCGGAACTTAATTTGAAAGCCATATTTCGACACGTATGTTTTTGGAATGCCGCTAATAACCAACGAATGACAAGTGTTTTTCCTTGTATGGATTCTATTTCAATGGAAACATGATGAGTTGATCCGCCTGCACATCTTGCTTTTATTGCTATATTGGGAGTTATATCACGTATTGCATAACGTAAAAATACATATAGTGGATTTGTTTCTTTCATTTGTTAACTTTTTCTCACGGCTCGATAAACAATTTGATAAGCCAATGATTTTTTTTCCATGTTTCAAAGTACGGTTAACCAACATCTTAACTAATCGATTCTATCCCTAAATATAAGGAAATAAAAAATTCAAGGAAAAAATGCATATGTTCAGCTCAATAGTCAATACCAACACATTGCATAACACCATGTTTGCCTTCACTTTCGCCTCTACCTTCACCCAACACTAACACGTGAGCACACATATACACATTCTTTTCAGAAGTAATTGTATATTTTTAACAAAGTAGAAATCACATAAATTTCTTAGGTCTACCTTACGTCATTTTTTATGGTTTAAAATTAACTGTTGGAGTTAATCACAAAATATTGAAACTTAAAAAGGGCTATTTGTTAAAATTAAAACTTGAAGAGATGAAGACAAACTTTAATCTCTTTAGTCTCGGCCTTAATTAGAAGTACCACAAGACCTTTTGAGGTATCTTTTTGAATCTTTCAAACTTTAATCTTGACTTTTTATATTTTGGACAATTATCTAAATCCTTATATTCCTTCATGAACACCCTGGCTAACCGATTCTTCTCCACCACCCCAATTGTTCCCAAAATGTCTAGTGGCAATATCATATATCATTCCATGCATGTAATCATATTCGTTATCTTTTTCGTCGTTTTCTGCAGCATTATTAATATAATCAGAATTGTTTGCAAACGCTTTACCATGATATATCACCTAACAAACCCTTTACTATCCCGTTAATCAACAAATGACCTTTAACTAACTTCTCGAGTTTGGTTGTAGAAATTGTTACACTTGATACAAGGACGTGGGATCTTATTATGGAGCTCGTGATGGGCACACAAACCGAAGGAAGTCTTTCACTCCTATTTGGTAATTATGGTGCAAGCTATTCTTTAATTGGATGCAACTCCTATCCATGTATGTGGTCCTGCCCCAACATTTTCAACATGCAAGAGTATATTGTTTGGTACATATGAAAAGCATACACATGTCTTTCTATGTCTTGAGTGGATTTTTTTACAAAAATATTTTTTTTTATGTATTTTTTAACAATTAAATTCAATTTTCGTGTTCCGACTTCCGAGGTCCCATTTTTCTTCTTTTTAAATTGAAATTAGTACTCTTGCTGGTCATCTTTTGACTAGACCGATGGGCTTTCTTTTTTTTAAACTGAAATTAGGACTCCTACAGGTCATCTTTTGACTAGACCGATGGGCTTTTTTGGGCTGGGTTGGGTTGAAGGTACGGCTCAATCTTGTCTACAGACCCTACTAGCTAGCCCACAACCTTACAAAAGCAGAGCCAGATCGAGGCATCGTATGTAGGTAGGCCCACCGGGCTAATGGTTAGGGTCAGACTGACTAGAATAACTTCAACGATTAATTTGAAAATTTAAGTACAACCTTAAAAGGTTGTTCAAGTAACTTTGAAAATTGTATCGAGTGGAACGATTTCGTGTCGGATGGAATTAATTTGTATCAAAAAAATCTTCATCCATATCCCATTCGTTTATATAAACGAGTCTAACTATCACACTCGTACACTAATCATTTATTAGACGAGTTATCCGATATAACCCGTGTGTCACCCGCTAAATAAGAGAATAGGTTAGAGTATTTCTAGTACACACAAAAAATCATCAACTGGCTACACATTATACATGTTTTACCTGTTTACTATAACAATAAATCATGGTTGTGCAAAAAAATAGACATTAAATGACTACTAAATTTGAATGAGTCTAAGGTATAGGAGATGTGAAATGAGGTAGAAGTTGAGAGACCTAACTTTTTTTAAAAAAAATTATTGTACAAGTGTTAACAGGTTAAACGGGTTGAAACGAATTTATGGGTTAAACACGAAACCGGTTCATTTATTTCACGGGTCTGCCAAGTTAACCCGTTAACTACCCAAACCCGTTAAGACTACACTGAAACCCGCTAAATCCGTGTCAAATTCGCGTCGGTTTCATGAGTCGTGTTTAAAATTATCAGGCCTAAACTCAAGTAATAATAGAGATAAACTGTAAACTCATATGTCCTAAACTTGAATTTTAGTAATTTTTTGAAGTTGTCATTAGGAATAAATTTCTCATGAATACCCTATTCCCGCACATGAATGGTCTATTTTTGATGAAATCGGAGAGAGGATTAGTCGATATGCACATAAATTGATCCAGATACCCCAGATTGTTAAACCAAAAAAAAAACCCAAATAAAATACAGATCTTGAGTCAATCTGTCAACGTGGAAAAACCACCATAGGTCCACCACTAAGTAAATTAAATTGGTTATAAGGGCTCAGTGGTTATACAAATTGCACATGTTCATTAATTAGCACATTTAATTAATTAGGTTTGTTGGCTTTTTTAGATCTTTATAGTGGAAACTTTTTTCATAAAGTTATACCTCTGTTTTTGATACATCAGTCTTTCCCCCTATCATTAATTTGTTAAGCAAAACATGATGGGATTATCAAGTCAAAAACACCACTAACAATTGTCCTCAAAGCAACCAAAAAAAAAAAAAGTGGCAGTAATAATAGTCATTGAAATGATGGTAGGTGATTTTTTTTAAAAAAAACTAAAGTATAGGAGAGCAATTAGATGTGAAATCTCAGACATGACGTAATCATAGTAGCCAACCTTTATTCGCAGAAAAACCTTCCAGAGGAGCCTAGACGGAAAAACCTACAACCACTCCCCAATGACAACTAGAGCCATAGCCGAACTTTAGTCCCACCAAACCATTTACAAAATTCAGCAATTTATGCCTATAAAATCGAACCTGGAACATAACCTTTACAGACCTCAAGCACAACCTTTAATGGAGCACTAAGTACTACTAAACCACACAACTTGGTAGTGATGGGTAAGTGATTTTAGTAAACTGCTAAAGTTTCGAAACTTCTACTATTTTTTTTTTTTTGCCTATTACGAAAAAAACATTTTAACACTCATTCCCTTTTTTTTTTTTTTTTATCCCTTGGTGTTTTTTTCAGTTTGTTCTATATGTGTTTCTCTCGTAACATCCAAATATTCCAGATTTAGCTCCAATTTGAAATTATTTTGAAGTTTGAAATATAACTAATAATCAAAATTTCGTTTCAAAACGTTCGAAATATTTCCGTTGTTAAGAAGACTGAAACAAATCAGTGATGGAATCAAAATTTTAATATTTTGAAGTATTTCATAATATTTTGAGGTTTTTTTTAATGTTTCAATGCATTTACACAATTGTTTCAGAATTTTTCACGGTATTTTAAGATACTTTGATATATTTCAACCAATATTTTAAAAAAATAATTCTTAAATAATTTTTTTTTTCATTCTATTTCCGAAATAGATCAAAACGTTTATGAAATACGTCAAAATATTTTCGTTTTTTAAGTGATTAAAACAATACACCAAAACGAAATTTTGATCGACAAATGTTTGTCACAAATATTAAGCTAGTAGGATGATTGTGGGTGTTTTGTTAATAAAGAATCTAAAAATGTGTTAAATGTCTTGGAATAAAACTTCCCTCTGATTGACACTTAGCTAAGGTACATCTTCCCTTAAATTTTGTTATGCCCTATTTGGTGTCGAGAGGATACATTGAAACCGAACAATAGGATCAAGTGACTATTATGGTAGAAAATTGAACTCATGAAAATTGACAAAATATAAAACAAAGATGATTTTGATCTCTGAGAAAACATCTTCCTCATATTCATAGTTCCTTTATTGATGATTTAACAGTAGAAAGTAGGACTTTTTACATAATGTCTTTTCCCATTGGAGAATGATCTCCAATTCTCTGTATCCATGGTAGAAATTTTGGTGGAATGCTTTGTTCATTCCGGAAAAAGTTGCTAGGATCAACCAAAGTCTTCACTTTCACCAATCTATTGAAGTTCTTCTTGTAATATTTAGTACCCCAAACACCTGCTTGTGCATAACTCGTGTTGCCTTCATTGTTGACTCCTATATCAAGATCTCTGTAATTGATATATGCTTCTCTCGGATTCATAGAAACATAAGGAGTCATATACTTGTAGAGCCTTCGAATCCAATTGATATGCCTTTCTGAAGCTGTTGTCCCTTCTTCAGCCCACACTATTTGGTATTCAATGTGGTATAAGTTTCCAGCTCTATGTGGGAAAGGTATTTTAGATTCTGAAATCTTGCTCATCACTCCGCCATAAGGATTTAATACCATTAAAACCACATTGATCTCTTCTTCATATAATATTTCCCATATTCCTTCAAATACACTCTCTGAAATGGGCACCTTTACATAATCTGATTTTAGTTTGTAGTTACTTTTGAAGGGGAATTCCCTGTTCAACAAGTTATTGACTGATTCTCCACCGAAAAGATTGAGTACTGATTCAATCCAAGTTAATTCTATGCAGTTTTCTTGTACCAAACCTAACTCTGAAAAGTTATCTTGCATCAATGAAAGTAGATCATCTACCCCACCAACAAACAACGCAGTGAACGAAGCTTGTATTGTTTTATTTCCGTCTATACTAGAGTTCACATTACTTAAGAAGACTCTGATGAAAAGATTTTCATCAATCTTTGGTGCGATGTATTGCCATTGATGGACAAGCGTGGTCGCATTTTGTTCCAAAGTTTTGTTTATTCTGAAAACAGTAACAGTTTCTGGAACAGTAATTAAGTTTACTTTCCATGCTGAAATGACCCCAAAACTAGCACTTCCACCTCCTCTAATGGCCCAAAAGAGGTCTTTCCCCATTGATTTTCTATTAAGAATTCTACCATTGACATCAATTAATCGAGCATCAATGATATGATCAGCTGCAAGGCCAAATTTACGCATCAACATACCATAACCTCCCCCACTAAAATGTCCACCCACACCCACCGACGGACAAATACCTGCCGGAAAGGCAAGAGTGCTACTCTTATTTGCAATGTAATAATAAACTTGACCAAGAGTCGCCCCAGCTTGAATCCACGCTGTTTTCTCTTCGACATCAACGGACACTGAACTCATGTTACGCAGATCAATGATGGCAAAGGGTACTTGAGCAACATAAGAAAGGCCCTCATAGTCATGTCCACCACTTCGAATTCGTATCTCGATATCATATTTTCGACAACAATTTACAGTTATCTGAATATGAGACTCTTGCAACGGTGTGATTATGACTAGAGGTCGAGGGGTGTCAAGTGTAGTGAATCGAAAGTTTTGGGCAGAGAAGTTCAGAACAGATAAATACGAAGGGTTACTGGGTGTGTAAATCACTTGGGAGATATTGGTGGAGTTCTGCAACTGACTGGAAAGACATGAAAGAAAAGCTTCATTAGCATGAGCTGAAGCTGCCCATGAAAGTGAGGAGAGAAAAAGGAAACAAAGTAAAAGCAAAGAAGCTCTTGAGGTTATCATTTTCAACATTGTTAATGGCTTTTCTTGTGCTAAAACTTCAGAAAATGAAGCTATTTTATAGTATTGTGAAGCAGGCAGCTTTTTTTATTTTCAAGTTTTGATGCTAACAATGGTGTGGTTGAAAATCAAGGATGGTGATCTGGGCTGACAGTATCACATGGTTAATGTTAAGTCCTGACAGAAGACTCCTAAGAGTTAAGTCATGGCAGAAGATAGTAGAAAGTTGAAATTTCGTGTTGATATTTTTATTTGGAGGACAACTAAACTGCCGAATTGAAACTTACAATATTTAAAAGAATAATCTAAGTTTACAGTTGACAAAAAATCTAAGTTTACAGTTGACAAAAATTTAAATTGTTACTTAAAATGGTCCAATTTACAAATTAAAAAATTATAATCGATTATAAAAATTATAATTTTTAATGGGCAAATTACACGTTATATGTCAAATTTTCATCGACAATTATTTATAACCAATTAAGAATTATCTTAATCAAATATAAATTTTTTTTTTCAAAGTTGTCTGAATGAAACCATGTTGGGTTGAAACTTCAAACCATATAGAAATATCACAAATCATTTTCATTTTGAAATCATGAAGTTCTTTAAGTTGCTGTCATTTTCAACTACCTGCTGATTTTTCATTACTTTGAACCCGCACAACCCGTACATCATACGGTGCTTGCATCTATGTCTGGTTATGGATTCTGCACGTCAATTATAATGATTTATGAAGGGTGGACCTGTCAGAGCAACACACGTTGTGGGTTTGTCCACCACTCCAAATAAGGATAAAATTATTTACTTTTTAAAAAAAAATTCTACTATTGACTCATATTTTATGCAGATGTTTTAAATCTTAATTAATTCTACTATAAATCTCAAAAGTATAGAGTTTGTTTTATTACTGTCTATCGTATTATTTTAATTTTTGAAATATTGAATATGTTTCTTTATTATTCCTTAAGTAGACAACATCTAAATCACTAATGATTTTTTTATCATAAATATGTTATGTAATACGTAAACATGAATAAAAAATAATTTGGATAATTTTTGACCAAAATTTAAATAACTCATGATCAAAACTGTGTAATTTAGGTAACTTTTTAACCAAAATTTGAGTAAAAATTTAATCAAGAAATATCTAAACTATTTTTTTATCTATATTTACGTATTACGTGATAAGATTATAATAAAAAATTGTTAGCAATTTAGACGTTGTGTGTATAAGAGACCAGATAAAAATATATTCAATATTGAAATATTAAAATGATACAATTAAAATATTGATAACCAAAATGAAGCAAATTCCATACTTTATGGATCTCCGGTGTAATTAACACTTAAACTTATTAAGAAGATATTGCTCGGCCAATTTACAAATCTTCATCAATTATTCATATCATCTAGATCAAAGGAGGGAAAAGGCTCTTTGATTACCTTGGTTTGTAAAACCTTAACTTAACAGCAGCATTTGACTCAAATTAGAATGGGTAAGTTACATCACCCCAAGCCCCAAAAGCAATGCGTACATTATATCAATAGAACGGTTTTCGCGATTTAAATTTAAAAATTAGAGACATTAACCTCTTAAAATTTATCGTACAAGTAGTAGTTAAAACTTATCGTACAAGTAGTAGTCTCGTGTTTGCTAGTAGACTAAGGTGGAGTTATTTCTAATGGGTTATAAAAGTGCAGTTTAATTAGTTCAAGAGATATATATGTTAGTGCAAAAAATTATCTGAGTCACTCGAAATTCTTGATTCATAAATCACATTATATTATTTTTTTTCTTACATGAATGCCCATCCTCTTAATTCAAAGAAACATAGTCAATTAATTTGTGAGTGGTGGGAAATTTTTGGTTGGGTTTGACCTCTAGGTTTCTTCTGAAACTAAGACAAGAAATTGGACAACCTAACCAATCGGGAGATATCAAATTCAAATCAAAGACTTGAAACCTAGAAAAAACTACAGTAGACCCATGACTTTGAGTGGCTATTGTAGCCCAGAATAATTTTCCAGCTTTTTTTCACCTGCTGATGTGTAGGATTATGTGGTATTTTTCATGTAATCATGATGCCATTGAAACAAAAAAGAAAAATCATAATGCCATTGAAGAAACCAATATGAAAAAGAAAAGGGTATTATTAATATGATTTGGGCAATCTTTGCTTGTTTCCTTATCATTGTTTTCTAGCTTTTTAGTGGATTTAAATATCCTCAGGTATATTATTTTTATTTTTATTCATATTAAGTTATTAATCATGAATTCACATTGTCCTCTCAATTTTTGAAGTGGTCTCAAGCTGCTCTAAAGCAAAACGCATGTTATGTGTTGAACGATAAATATTCCAATGTTTAGTGAACTACACTTTTTCAATATTTGTAATTAATTAACGTGAATTCAATAATTACATACAGAGGTTTAATGGGAGAAACTTCGTAGTTAATGGATAAATGTAAAATGAATACACATAGTTACAGGTGTAACGTGAAATATGTTAATTGATGATCAGGTAAAGAGAGACAGAAGGGTTCAAAATGGAATTTATCCTAAAATATTAAGCAAAAATGTATTAAAAAGAATCCGACCCTTCTCTACCTCGTGAGTCTCGCTACCTGTTTAGCCGGCGCCACCTACTTCCTCTTTCACAATTTACTTCTACAAAAAGGGAGAGCCTCTGGCACCCATTCGGTACTGTACCGTAAAAAATATGTAGTTATTAATTTTTTGTCTTTAAATATTATTCACCAGAGATGATAGTTTTACTTATAAAAATTGTCCCTTTTTTTTTTCTAAGGATTGTAATTTTAGTTATAATTTTGTCGCTAAACCTGATAACATTACTTTAAAGAGTTGTAAATTCATCTCAAGAGATTATAAACGCACCTCACATTTAGAGGTAGTATTTTTACCTTTACTGTTTATAACTTATCTTTAAATAATTATAACTTCATATCCAAATTAATAGATGCAGGCTAATTGATCTTGGATGTAGTGGACCAAGACTCACTTGGAACAATAAATGAAGATGAATGGCGAACAAAAAAATCAGACTTGATCGAGCACCGGCAAATGTGGATTGGATGCTTCAATTCCCTGAAGCAACTGTCCGAAATCTTCCCAAAACGTACTCAGACCACTGCCCTCTCCTTATCCAAACAAAAGGTACCCCTTTAACTCCGTCTTTTAGACTTTTTAGAGTTGAGGATATGTGGTTTACAAAACCCGATTTTAGAAACGTTATTGTTAACTCTTGGAATCAAGCTAACCAAAATTTCAATCTTGCTACTAAAATCTTTGAACATAATGCTAAAGAATGGAATAAAAATAATTTTGGTGACATTTACCAAAGGAAAAGAAGAACTTTGGCTAGATTAGAAGACATTCAAAAAGCACAGGATAATTATTACTCCCATAATCTTTAGAGACTTGAAAATCAATTGCGACATGAAAACCAGCAAATCCTTGAACAAGAAGTGATTCTTTGTTACCAAAAATCTAGATCTAACTGGATAACCCTTGGTGATAGAAATAGCAGATATTTTCATGTGTCTACAATTGTGAGAAGGAAAAGAAATAGACCAGAATCTCTAAAGAAGGAACAGGGGCTGTGGGCAATGGAAAAGAATGATATTAAAGAAGTAATCCAAAATTTTTACAATCAATCTTTACGACTCTAACCATTATAGCTATCAAGCAAAACTTGATCAAGTGGATAAACAGATCCTTTAGGAACAAGTAATGGATTTTGAGATCAAAAAAGTTGTTTTTAATATTAAACCTTACAAATCTCTAGAACCTGACGGACTTCAATCCATATTTTATCATAGATATTGGGATATTATTGGGAGTTTTGTGTGTCAACAAATCAAAGAAATTATAAGTAGAAGAGAGTGCCCTGTGGAATTTAATAAAACTTGGATTTCTTTAATTCCCAAGGTTGACAATCCCTCCCTAGCTTCGCAATTCAGACCCATTAGCATGTGTATTGTTAGTTACAAATTGTGTCTAAATTGCTAGTTGCAAGACTTAGGTCATTTCTTGATAAACTTATATCCCCTTTTCAAAGCAGTTTTATTCCTGGTAGACAGACTTTTGACAATGTTATCATCACACAGGAAATCATTCATTCATTAATGAAGAGAAAAGGAAAGAACGGAGGAATAGTAATTACAATTGACCTTGAAAAAGCTTATGATAGAGTACGTTGGCCCTTCCTTCACCAAACATTGATTGACTTCAATTTCCCTCAGTCCTGGATTAATTTGATTGTGAGTTGTGTGATTGGCACATCCCTTTCTATCTTATGGAAAGGTGCCACTTTTGACCCAATCAAAGCTAAGAGAGGCCTTAGACAGAGAGACTCATTGTCACCTTACTTATTCACTCTATGTATGGAGAAACTAGGTCAAATCAGTCATAACAAAGTTGAAAATGGAATATGGAAAGGCATCAGGAATATGGAAAGGCATCAAGACCTCCATGAATGGGCCTGTCATCACCCACCTCCTTTTCGCTGATGATATTATCCTCTTCTCTAGAGCTTCAAAAAGAGATTGTGACATGGTTAAAATAGTTCTGAAAGATTTTTGCTCCATTACAGGTCAGAAAGTGAGCTTAACTAAATCCAGAGTTTCTTTTCCCCAAACATTAGTAGGAGCCAGGCATTGCACTTAAGGAGAAGGAGTGTGATCACATGTACTGATGACATAGGAAAGTATCTAGGCATCCCCATCATCCATAGGAGAGTTAGTAAGGATCACTACATCTCAGTGATTGAAAATATTCAAACAAAACTGAGTGGCTGGAAAATTAATAATCTCTCATTTGGTGGAAGAAATACTCTTGTTCAAGCTGTTACCTCTACAATTCCAAGCTATATTATGCAAACCTCTTGGTTACCCCAATCCACTTGCGAGACAATTGACAAATTAAATAGAAACTTCATTTGGGGGGACACTGAGGAGAGGAAAAAAGTTCATTTGATTAATTGAGACACTGTCTGCTCCCCCAAGGAAGTAGGGGGTTT